CTGGTGGTACATTTGCACCACACAAATCTCCCTGCTGCCTCACCTTCCAATAAATAGCTGTAACTCAGCTGCCGGGAGGTCAGGTGAGCCCAAGCACCCATAGTACCATACTGCTTTGTATGGAATAGAAGTAGCATAGCACTTATTTCCAGTCAAAATATAATTTCATTGAGTTTTCGTTGGTATTTTTCTTGAAACCTCTTTCAGAATTTTATCCCTATCATTATTTATTGCTAGTAGTGACTGAGCTAGCAAATCAACCAACATTAACTTAATTGTCAAACCTGAGCCAGATTTCAAACAAATTAGGTAATGGCAACTTAATTCACCCCATTACAATATTTTAACTTAAAAAACAACAGAACTATAAGCTTTGACATGACAGCAAAATCTAATTTGGTGTTTAGAAGCTGTTTTTAATCTCAGACTGTTACTTGCGATTACAAATGGAATTATATTGCATTACATGTTCTAAGATTATATAAGAATGAATGCACACGAACAACACATGTTCTGTTTTTGTGAACTGCATGTCCAAGTCCGTCAGAAGAAAGCTTGATCCATGCTGTGGAATAAAATAGTTATAGGAAAGTACATAGCAATTACCCGGTACAATCTTTGGCTCTTCCAGATGGGGAGGGATTTGGGGCTTGGAAACTGGGATTTTTGTTTTACTGGGAGCTGAAAGGAATAAAAATGAAAAGGTCATTTGTATGTGCCCTAAGAAAGCAGCACAGATAGCACTGGGAGCTTAAAACGAGGGGGAGTCCTTCACAACCAGTGTTGTGTGCTCACCTAAGTCCAAAACTACATAGGAGTATCCCAAACAAACAGTTACTGAGATACCAAGAACTGCATGGCATATACAACAGGCTTATGCTATCCCTGTGTGATTATTTTCTTTTCGATCCTTCTCCCTTAAAAATAAAGCCATATTACAAACTAGTCTGGGAGACTCAAAAGTAGTTTGCCAAAGGTCATGGAGGGGCTGCTACTTGAGTTAAAAAAATTATTCTGTGCATATTTCGAAGCAAATCTTAGCAAGTCAGACAGGTAAGCCTGCACAGGGTTACAGGCATGGCCCCTTGGGCTCACAGAACTAGTCTCACCGTTTTTTGGAACTTGATCAATATATGAAGAAAATAACCTATTCCCTGGAATGCCTGCAAACTGCTATGCATTTTTCTTTCAGCAGTTTCCTGTCCAACAAACAGCACAGATCACCTGTTTTTCAAAGATAAGGTCTGAATGCTAACCTTGCCTTCCCCAGTCCTCCTCTATGATTGGGGGGTTGGGGGTGTTGTTTTGTTTTTTCCAGACCCCAGAGATAGTAAGCATCATAAAAAACCTGAAGCACCAATATTGTGTTTTGTGCTGCGTTCAAAGGTCCCACTCCAGTGTTTTGGCACCCTGACAGACTCCCAAATACTGAATGCATGCAGAGAACCAACACTGGGAAGTACCTGTGTACATTTGCATTTGCCAGATCCTACAGGGGATGCATATACAAAAGTCTGCTTCACCATATTTTTTGCACTCATGTAGAATTGTTAGGACAGGGGGTGGGCTGAAAAAGTCCATAGTACATTTTCCCTCTAATGTTCTAACTAGGCAGGTGAGTGGCCACAGGAGAGGAAGGGGAAAGGAAAGAACTGACTCTGTTCTGTAGCTTTTGACAGTGTCTATTCGCAGTCCATTCCATGTGGCCCATATTTAATAGACCAACCATCTATAGAATAAATGGAGGCACATACAGAGTTATTTAACTATTACAATTATTCATCTGTCACTTCATGTAAACCTAATTATTACCCTGTGTTGTTCTTGGCAATTCAGGGGTTTTATAAATTTTAAGTGTAGTGGCTTCCCATTGAGGTTCTTTTTCTGCTGATGAAAAAGAAAAGAGAGAGAGAGAGAGAGAGCAATAAATCATGCGGGAATTAGACAGTTATTCATAAAAGATGTTTAAAGTTAGATCTATTTCCCATTGCCCAGAATCAGTATATGATTACTTGCAATTAATATAAAAATAGGGTTCTTTCTGATTCCTTCATGGTTTTCTTATTATAACTGTTTTCACCGAAAGATTTTATGAATATGAATATATGAGGTAGCGCGCAAAGACTGAAGCCTACACGAAGTTGACCCAAAGGGTTTTGTATTTCCTCAAACCAACAACATAGCTTCTTACGGACAGGCTAACTTTGAATTCAAACAACAACAATAATTACAATCCATGGCATGAATTGTTATTACCATGTTTAGATTCTGGTATTTTGGGATGGGCAGAAGGTTTAGGTGTAGAAGGAACCAATTCTGTTTCCGGCAGAGCTGAAAGACACAGGTTGTATTATAGATTTTTGCTTCTTACTGTCTTTTTTAATTTTCTTCCTAGGAAATTAGAATCAAATAAACTAAAGTGAAGATGAAACAGGATGTTTAAAAATTGTAAATTTGTTGCAAAAAATATACCCCTTAAAGCCTCAGACAACAGCAAAATCATATTTGTCTATTCTTTCCCAGTAAGAAAGCCATTCTCCCTCATGCCCAGGTGATCTATCTATAGGAATAACAATATTCCAATATTCCTACCTTACCAAGTTGTTATAAGGATTACAAATATAACGTATGTGAAGTGCTTTGAACTCTCTCAAGTGCCATCAATTACATATACTGTTAAATAATATTTTCATTACTCATGTAATGGTTGATTATGCTGATTATGTAATGCTAGAATTGATGCATAATTGACAAGGCTTGTGGTAGCTCTCACAAGAAATACGTATGGAGAAAATTAGTAAAGCTGGTATAAAAGTGTAGTTCAAAACCACAATTTGATCCTTGTATTAACTAACTATGGTTTAGATAAACCAAGTTCCCTGACACAAAGGGAAACTGTAGTTTGTTCCAAACCACGGACAGAAGCAGCTTCTGGGGGGAGGGGTGTAGCTGCAGCAGTAGCTTCCTAACAACAGCATAGCTGCTGCTTACTTGGAGGGGCAAGGAAGTGGAACAATGGGGCATGTGCTGATACACCAGTGGGAGAATTGGTACGGCTCCCCCACTGTATCTCTGCAGCTGTGACCTCACAAGTGCTTTGCCCACAAGGAAAGCTATCTAAAAATCATCCAAATTCAAGTACTATAAATATTGTTTTTAAAATAAATGTTTTCTTTTTATGTGGATAAGCATTACTTTCCTTCAGAAAAGCAATTTGCTCAATTTGCCGTTGGCCTTTTAAAATAGTTGTCACACTTTTGATGAAAACAGGAAATGGCTGCGTTTATAATTTCTAGGGGCAAATCTTCAAATAACAACAGCAAGCACATTTGCCCACACTGTTTCACAAATGCTCATTGTTAAATTGATCAAAGGGCAGATATTTCATTGGGCATCAGTTCAACGAGCAATTTCAATTAAGAGCAATAACGTTTTCAAATTTCAAGAATTAATGCTGTAGCTGTAAGCCAAATACTACATTTGAAAGAACACTCTGTTTTTATTATTTGCAGTGGTGAAAAATGGCAATAAAAATATTTTCAGGGCTCTTCAGGGACTGAATTTTAATGCAAGTTATAAAACTTTTCCAGGAAATGAATGTTACCTGGAGCAGCTTTTAATCGTTCAGTAATTCTAGAAGTTTTAGGTGTATTCTGCTTCAAAGGTGGTTGATTAGTGGCTAGAAAAAGAAGAGAATTCAAACTGAACAGAAAAAGACAAATATAACTAAAAGTTACCAATCTTGAAGTGAAATATTTCCTATTTATTGATAAAACAAAAATGTTTAATGTGGAAATAGAAAGATTGGGTTGGGGTTGGGAACCTATCAAATTCAAAACAGAAGGTCCGTTATCACCAAATACACTAAACACATTTTAATAACGACTCATGTACAAAACTGGCAGCAACAGCCCCTATTTCAACAGAAAGATGGCAAAAGGGAAGAGGGCACACCCACAAACTCTTCTGAGCTTGATTGTATAAGCCCCAGTAATACAACATGGACTATTCAATGGAAAATAAACTCTTAATGCATGAGATCTGGAAAGCAGAAAAAGCTAGAAATAAATTTCAAATTAATCATCAATAGTTGCATACATTGATTTCATGTTCATAATCAATGTATCTAAAACAAAAGTAATATAGATTTGTGAACAATCTGCATTTCATTACCAAACCCAGGTTCAATAGCTCTTGAGAAAAAAATAAACAGAAGAAATGTTTTTTTAGTGTGAATCAAAATTTATCACAGTACTCAGATTTATCACAGAAAAGTAGTAACTGATAGTAATTTAGCATGCAATCCTAATCATGTCTATGCAGAAGTTACTCCTACTGAATTCAATGAGGCTTACCGCCAGGTACTGTAAGTAGGGATAGGATTGATGCTCTAGTAGCTGTTGCACAGCTGAACAGAGAAGAGTTTTAAAAAGGCCATTTGTAGCGTATACATAAAGTGAGTATTTAATTACCAGGGCTCACATGCCATCCTTCTGGAGTGGCAGAAGTCTTCCATTTAAAAGGAATAAATGGTGTTTCAGATGAAGCTGAAAAGAGCATCATGGTTACATTTAAAATCCTTCAAAATTTAAACAAACCGTTCATGCAACACTCTTGCAATGATGAACAGAATGGAATGGACTCGCAAGGCTGATGAAAGTGATGGAGTTGCAGACCACACTGCACTGATCTTAAGCATAACTCAGTGCTCCAGTGACAAGTGTCAATTTCCCTCAAAGACAGTTGTGCAAAGAGATGGATAATAATAATAAATGATAGGGAGCCCATGCAGCTTTCATAACTGAAATTGAAAATAAAAGGATGAACCATGTTTCTACAAAGGTTTGGAGACTTTGTAGAAGCTAGAAGTGTGATAAAAGGTGAGTATGGAAAGGATGGTGATGATTTTATTCTGAAAGAAATGAATTCACGTGGAATGAAAATGTTTCTGATGAAACATGACACACAGTATGACCATTCACGTTGAAAAAGAGCATTACCCTGTCCCTGTGGTGTCTTTGGCCAGTCAAGAGGCTTGGATGTTTTTGGTGTGAAAGATTCCAGGGTGGGTTCATTTGTTACTGCTGGAAGAAATGTTGACAAGTATAAGAAGAAAAGCCAGCTTGGTGGGGGGAAAAGTTTCTGCAGGAGGAAAGCTATTTTTCTGTAGGAAAAACCTGAAGGGTTTCCTTGACTATTGGCCATTGTTTTTAGTTTACCAGTTTAGTAGGTGTTACAGATGAAGTCATCTGTTTAAATCGCACTGTATGAAAGATTTCCTTCTTCGTAGTGTATGTGGATTTGAACAAATGCTGAGTGGTCATCTGTCTAGTTCCTGCCTGCCTGCCCACCCATACTGTAATTGTTTTGGATTACATCTTGGTATCTGAATCAGTGCCACACAGAAAAACTTAAGGTTTTATTAACGACTCAACTGAAGTGGCATTATCCAAGCAAAGTGGAATACCACAAGCAGCAACACTGTAATAAGCAACATAGTCTACTAAAAGTTATAGTGCAATGTAAACACGTAAACTCAGAAAATCTAATAGTTTGTGTGACTTGCTTCCAGGTAACTGTGTAGCCTTAACCTAGCAGTGAGAACATATGGGGCACTTTGAAGTCCCATTCTGGTCAACCAAGGTGGTCACCTATATCAGCAGAAATACCCTCTTCTACATGACATTACAGGAACAGAATGCCTGCTCTCTTTTGCATTTGGCCACACTGGTTTCAGTAGAAGAGACTTAAGACATAAGATTTAACTCTAAGACTATTTATTTTCTGTTTTCTTTCCTATGTTTTTAACTTGTTCTATTTTATCTCGATAAGCTGCCTTGAGTCTCACTGGGAAAAAGATGAGATATAAATATACCAATATTTTTAATACAGTCATACCACGGAAGTCGAACAGAATCCGTTCCGGAAGTCTGTTTGACTTCCAAAGTGCAGCTTCCGATTGGTGGCAGGAAGCTCCTGCAGCCAATCAGAAGCCACGGAAGCCCCGTCAGATGTTCAGCTTCCGAAAGAACGTTAGAAAACCGGAACACTCACTTCCGGGTTTTGATCCTTCAGGAGCTGGAACATTCGACTTGCAAGGCGTTCGGGAGCTGAGATACGACTGCACTATTATTATCCACATCACATAGGGGGCCTTAAATATAGCCCAAAATAGGCAGGCTTTGAACCTCTAGGAATTTACAGCATACAACACACACTGGGAAAAACAGAAGGTGTATAAGGGAGAACAACAGGAAACTGTCCCAAAGCCATCAGGAAACCATCTGGATCCATCAACCTACTGGGGTTGACCATCTTAATCAGTCCCCCACCCCTGCAGAGGCTCTGAGTTCTAAACCCCACAAGGCAGTGGTTTGACCATGGCAACAGAACTATAGAGTCCCTCCACACTAAGATCACCATCATACAATCAAACAAACACAGAAAACCAGTCCAGAGTGCAGCATGGGTAGGGCCAGACATTACTTAGGACAGACCCATGGTTGTCATGGAGGACATGAAATCCTGAGGCATTCTCGAGGGGAACCTCAGTGTGAATATTAAAGTCCTCCAGCACAATCAGCCAGGGGGACTCCAACACCAACTCTGAAAGCACGCTAGCTAGCTCAGGAAGGGACACTGTTGATCAGTGGGGTGGGTGGTACACAAACAGAATCCTTAATCTGTCCTGGTTTCACCCATTTCAGATGCACTCTTGATCCCAGCAGACTGCGGGAGAGGACACCTGGTCAGAGGGATGCAACCCGCTATGTGCAGGTGTAATTTGCCAGACTGTGAGGATGGCGTTATCTGGAATTGTAGTCTGTAGATTTTGCTCTCTAAATTCAGTTTCAGATAGAGTCATTCCGCAGAAGATTCTGCAAACAGAAATTCTAATGACATGAAAGAAGTATTGAGAGCTGGCACCTAAGGACACCCCCCCCCAGCTTCTCATTCAAGAACAGTTTTACTGATTTCAGTGAAACTATTCTGAAGTAAGTACAGCAGTCTGAAGACTGCAGTCTTAATTCCATGGGTGGTAAGCATAGGATGCAATGGTATACCTCGTTCGGAGTCTGATATGTCAATCTCATCAGATCTTCTGGGGCTTGAAAGACCAGGTTGTGTTTTGCTGAAAACTAAAAATAATAAATTGATAGCAGTTGTAATTATGATTTCTTTTAAATCTAATTTTTATTTTCTGAGGTGGCTTTGCTTGCATGTAACTAGTATCAATAATAAGAGTAATTTTTTGGAAAAAGCTTTTGATTTGGTTGGTTTTTAACTAATCAAGTTTAAATGCATTCACAAATGACAACAACTTAATGAAGATGTCTTTGAGGATCTTAAACTAAGGGGAATACCTTTTCTTTTGAAAAACTACACTCATCTCTCACAAACAGAAAAGGGGAATCCAATATTTTTTCTTCTTCTTCAAACTTGGACACATAGGATATTCTAAAGGTTTCACAAACATGTTGAGGTCAGTATCTTTTGCTGAATATTTATATTTAAAATACATATTAATTTCAGGAGAGCAACATCAGATCCACTTTGCTTTCTTTTGTGGAAATCAATTTACATGGTACCTGTGCTATGTTGCCCTGCAAATGGCAGGTAGGAGAAGTCACTAAGTAGGAGTTACAGAAGTCCCTAGACCCTATCTGTCAACTACAGTAAAACAGAAATAACCATCTGTACAAACCTACGTAGTGCCCTATTGCCTACTAGCAAGTGATGCAAAAGGCCAGGTGAGTTTTACCTTTGGGTAGAATATTCTATACATGAGCTACATAATAGAATTACATTTTGCACTATTCAACTAGCAAGTAAACATACAGGGTGGGATCCAAAGAACTCTGTTAGGCATGCCAAAGGGGTTTGAGGTGCCCAGTGGAAATTTTAACCTTTTTTAAAAATATGAATAGCAGATCTCTGTAGGGAATAGCAGCTCCTTCACTTTCAAAAACCAGATTGCCATTTGGCAGGGGGAATCACTGTACTAGAAAAACAAGTTCGAAGCTTCCATGCGGACATGGAACTCATTGTGCAGGGCTTTGGATTCCAGCCACAGTGTGCGTCTAGGGTATGTGTTTGTGTGGCGTGTGCATGTCTGTTCCCATCCTCTCTTAGCCCCATCTAGCATTCAAATTATACACAATCTGGAATGGTAGGGAAGAGCTGGATGGGGTGTAGCAGGTTTGCACAGACTACCTGTTCTCCAGGCTATTCTGTGCTGAGAACAGGGGAACATAAATACCTGAACTGAGCCCTAAGGGGGACCTTTCATCTAGGTGCACTGCGCCTATATGGGGAAGGACTGGACACCCAATGTTGTGGCCCAATGCCTTTTACAGGATTAAAACAGCAACAACCAAAAAATCTAACCAAGTGCTTCCCCCCAAGATTACCCCCCCAATGGTTGTGTTTGCTTATGATACACATCTCCATAGTCTTATGGTGACTAAGTCAGTGATGTGGTTATTGATGCACCTAACATTCAAGCAATGTTGTCGTTTAGTCGTGTCCGACTCTTCATGACCGCATGGACCAGAGCACGCCAGGCACTTCTGTCTTCCACTGCCTCCTGCAGTTTGGTCAAACTCATGTTAGTAGCTTCGAGAACACTATCCAACCATCTCATCCTCTGTCATCCCCTTCTCCTTGTGCCCTCCATCTTTCCCAACATCAGGGTCTTTTCCAGAGACTCTTCTCTTCTCATGAGGAGGCAAAAATATTGGAGTCTCAGCTTCAGGATCTGTCCTTCCAGTGAGCACTCAGGGCTGATTTCCTTAAGAATGGATAGGTTTGATCTTCTTGCAGTCCATGGGTCTCTCAAGAGTCTCCTCCAGCACCATAATTCAAAAACATCAATTCTTTGGCGACCTGCCTTCTTTATGGTCCAGCTCTCACTTCCATACATCACTACTGGGAAAACCATAGCTTTAGCTATACGAACCTTTATTGGCAAGGTGATGTCTCTGCTTTTTAAGATGCTGTCTAGGTTTGTCATTGCTTTCCTCCCAAGAAGCAGGCGTCTTTTAATTTCGTGGCTGCTGTCACCATCTGCAGTGATCATGGAGCCCAAGAAAGTAAAATCTCTCACTGCCTCCATTTCTTCCCCTTCTATTTGCCAGGAGGTGATGGGACCAGTGGCCATTATCTTCTTTTTTTTATGTTGAACTTCAAACCATATTTTGCGCTCTCCTCTTTCACCCTCATTAAAACATTCAAGCAATAAAAGGCACTAATTGCATCTCACTCACTATCTTACACTGCTGTGTCACATTTCAACTCTGAAGAAGCAATTCGGCATTTCTTGAACGAAAATGCATTTTCCTTTTTCCTTTTTCAAGTCCTTCACTATCCCATGGGGCAGGCCTCCTACCATGTATCAATACATTTTTCACCACAAATGCAGCCAACCATTTTTCTCCTATCATTTCCTAGTATTTAGTTGTTAAAAACATTTATGCTATATATGGTTTTGCATACTTTCCATGCGGAAAAGTTACTCCTCCTTTTCGTTTCATGCAGATGTTTTTGTAGCGGTTGGCTGGCCTTATTACAATCAACACCGCAAGCCTTAGGCTTTAAAACCACCCACAAAAATCAGAGGACAACAAAAAAGCCCTTTGTACCACAAAGCCAAGAAAAGGTTCACTCTGAGGACAGTGTAGGGAAGTACTTTATAAATGGAATAAATAATGTTCAGGACAGGAGAAGATATCCTATAAATAACTCCCATTTATGAAGTCAGAGGTAAAAAGGGAAAACAACCACCATTAATAACTGGTGATAATTTAAGGCCAATCTAGCACATGGAGGTAATAGAACTGTAGAGCTGGAAGGAACCCCTAAAGTGATCTAGTCCAGCCCGCTGCTATGCAGGAATCTCAACTAATTCATGCCCAGGACTTCATCAGCATACTAGCTGATGTGGAAAGGGAACCAATTTTCTTGTATCAAGCTACAAACATTGCCTACTGACAAAAAACAACTCTCCACCCAAACCATTGGGATGTTTTAACTTTTCATTCAGATGTAATTCACTATAAAAACAAATTTCAGCATATAAAATTGAATTAAAGGATAATGATCCATTAGAACTAGCAGGCTGCAATTATCAAATACAGTCTGTGGTCACTCTCAGGCTCTGCATCTGTATTTTACCACAAAGCCAAAAGAAAATTTAGACCATGCCTTCTGAGGTCCTTAGACACATTTTTGGCATCAAGGAAATCAAAATAACAATGTTGACTAAGGCAGCTCAGAAATGGTGTCTATTCTTTCTTCCAGAATCTCCGTCACACCTAACCCAGTTTCCAGTGCTTCCAGCTATTGCTCCTGCTTCCATGCAGAATCCTTGACCTACTATTCCTTTAATGCTGTGCATGTACCTGTGAAATTTTACCTCTCTTCTTTGCCATGCACACAGTTAAAGGCCTTGATTTCACATTGTCCTCTGAATTTGAAGAATCCTCTACTAGTTTGCCTATCCAAACACCTTCTGGTTTAATTTCAGCATTCACATGGTTGATTAACCATCTTTCTCTCTCTCTCTCTTTTGGTATTACTGTTTTATTGAAATATTTTCATTGGTTTTGTCCCGAGATGTAAAGCTGAATGTGTGCAAGTTAAATGCACATACATTACAGGCTTGTTGTATGCACATTTTTGTAAATGTTATTTGGCTGGAGAACTACACTGCAAAATTTGGAGGAGTGCAAATTTTGAAAGATAGCTGTGTTTCAGTTTGCACGTTGTTTTGGAAAGTGTGAATTGTTTTGGAAAGTGTGTAGGTGCACTTTTACATGCAACCTGAATTGAATGCCTGCTCAGGACAACATGTCTGTAGAAAATTAATTAGCACCAGGAGGCTAGGTTCTGAGCAATCAGCAAATTGCAATGGTCAGGGGTTTGTTTGTTTTTTGTTTTTTAGGAAAACAGAAAGCTGTTCACAAAGTCCAGACAATGGAAGAAGAAGAAGAAGAGTTTGGATTTGATATCCCGCCTTTCACTCCCCTTCAGGAGTCTCAAAGCGGCTAACAATCTCCTTTCCCTTCCTCCCCCACAACAAACACTCTGTGAGGTGAGTGGGGCTGAGAGACTTCAAAGAAGTGTGACTTGCCCAAGGTCACCCAGCAGCTGCATGTGGAGGAGCGGAGACGCGAACCCGGTTCCCCAGATTATGAGTCCACCGCTCTTAACCACTGCACCACACTAGATATTGAAAATCAGAAAACCATGTGCCATGTTAGAGTCACACAATACGTGTGTTCTCTATGTGTCTTGGAACAGATGAATTAATAGGAAATTTCATAATATGTTCCATAAAGAAAGCAAAGAAAGTTTAAGAACACATTTTGACAAGGGACTGCAAGATATTTAAAAATGCATCTCCAGTCTGAATTCTGTGGTATAAAAAGCTAAACAGTCCACCACATAAACTCACGATCTGCTTCACTAACTTTTGGAGTTCATATTTCCTACTGCATATACTGTGCTGACCATTTCCCTCCTCATCAGTGCTTTTCTTCTAGAAAAAATGTGCCAGTACTCACCATGTAGTTGTTATAGTTAAGCCCCACAACTTTAACCATTGCTTTTTTCTAGAAAAAAATGGTGCTGGTACTGTGTACTCTTGAGTACATCCAGAAAAAAATCACTGTTCCTCATAGAAGCGAATGGGAGCCCCTGTGCTGAGGGGTCACGTCCAAGAAACATCAAGAATAGACTTTAGGTCACATCTGATATTACCAGTTTCACTCCTGGGAATAAGCTACAAGTTACTCCCATGATTAAATCTGTATTAGGACAGACACTCATGTCTAGACATAAGCCAGAGTTAGAGAAACATATATTTGCTTGGCTCATGAGCAGACATGAGTGTGAGTCCTTCCAACAATATAATTTCATCAATAGGATGACCAACAAGGAAAAAATTATGGGGACAAGTCATGTACACTACATGAAATAGGAACCCTTTTCCATATAATTTTAGGGTGATGTGTACTTTGTTATTTTTAGAGGGAAAAGTGATTAAAAAATATATTTTTTTTATTAGAAACTCTAAAAACATATGGAAGGAAGATTTCTGTATAATGCTGTATGCATTATACAGAAAATGCCCACCATC